CGGGATTACAGGCACCCACCAATGTGCCTGGCTAATTTTTGTATTTTTTTTTTTTTTTTTAGTAGGGAACGGGGTTTCACCATATTGGCCAGGCTGGTATTGAACCCCTGACCTCTTGATCCACCCACCTCGGCCTCCCAAAGTGCTGGGATTACAGGCGTGAGCCACCATGCCTGGCAAAACCTCTCCTTTCATCCATTGCCCCATAGCTCCAGTAACCCAAGGCTGGGTAAAGAACAGTTTCTTCCCCTCAGCTGCCAGTAAGTACCTCCAAATTACTTATCTTACACCCACATTTCCACCCTAAACCAGACACTAGGTGGGTGAATAGGTGTTGACATTTTTGAGAGGGAGAGATGCTGTTTGGTGACTCTTCTGTTGTGGCGTGACTGTAAATTGAGTAGTCATCTACGGTACTGTGAGAAGGGTGTTCTGGGGTCTTTGCTGTTGCCCCTTCCAATGGCCCTTGCCTTTGCTTGCTTAGCTGTGACTGGTGAGGAGTTGGGAAAATTTGCATAAGCCTCAAGGAGCATCTTGGGAAAAAAGGAATCAAGACTCAACTCCCTTTCCTTCCAAAGTTTAATGTTTATTCTATTTTATTTCATTTTAATTTTTTGAGATGGAGTTTCCTTCTTGTTGCCCAGGCTGGAGTGTCACAGTGTGATCTCAGCTCACTGCAACCTCCGCCTCCTGGGTTCAAGTGATTCTTCTGCCTCAGCCTCCCGAGTAGCTGGAATTACAGGCGCCTGCCACCACACCTGGCTAATTTTTGTATTTTTAATAGAGACGGGGTTTACCATGTTGGCTAGGCTACTCTCGAACTCCTGATCTAGTGATCCCCCCACTTCTGCCTCACAAAATGCTGGGTTACAGGAGTGAGCCACTGCGCCCGGCCTTGAAGTTTAATGTTATCAGAACCTTTTTGATGGACTGATTAGTGTGGATGGAAGACTATGGACAGGATACCAGCACCCTCAAGAAGGAATGCGCCATGATGAGGGGAGGCAACCAAGGCTAAAGTAAAGGACAGAAGGGGCTACAGGGACAGGGCTAGTTCTGTTGTGGCGTGTGGGTGAGATTAGAAGCCCTTCCAGTCAAGCCACGGGTGTGACAGGACTAAAGCTTTGTAACGGGGAGGACGCCTGATATTGCCCAAGCGAATTCAGCAGTGGCATCAGGGAGTGGCGGGGAGAGGGGCCATGACTGCCGAAAGCCCAGGCCCCCTAGTGACAAGTCCTTCGGCTCTCTGACTCAGTGGGGGTTCTGAAGAGGTGATGTCTGTCCACCAACCTGGGGAACCAGTGATGCTCTTTTGCATCTGTAGATTTCTCCTTCACCCCTTCACAATCCATTAAAGTGGACGGCACCCTTATGGCAGAGAAGTGGCAGACGTTTTGAAAGAGACTTTCTTTAACTTTTCTCAAATCAGGTAGGAGTCCTTCCTGCCCTGGTGGGGCTTTTTCTGTTCTTTTTGTCTTCCTTCTCTTTTTCTCTCTGTCCACCCCATCATTTCCTAGATAATCACGTAACTTATATAATGTCTGTTTTTCTCTTTAGAAAAGCAGTCCCCAACCTTTTTGGCACCAGGGACAATTTTCGCACAGACGGGGGTGGGGTGGGGCGAGGTCAAGTGAGGATGAGGGCGGAGGGATGGTTTCAGGATGATTCAAACGCATTACCTTAATTGTGCAGTGTATTTCTTTTCTTTTTTCTTTTTTGAGATGGAGTTTCGCTCTTGTAGCCCACGCTGGTGTGTAGTGGCGGGATCTCGGCTCACCGCAACCTCCGCCTCCCCAAGTTCAAGCAATTCTCCTGCCTCAGCTTCCCAAGTAGCTGGGACTACAGGCGTGCACCACCACATCTGGCTAGTTTTTGTATTTTTACTAGAGATGGGGTTTCAAGATATTGGCCAGGCTGGTCTCAAACTCCTGACCTCAGGTGATCCACCTGCCTCAGCCTCCCAAGTGCTGGGATTACAGGCGTGAGCCACCGCGCCCGGCCTGTATTTCTATTATTATTACATCGTAATATATGATGAAATAATTATACAAGTCACCATAATGTAGAATCAAGGGAGCCCCGAGCTTGTTTTCCTGGAACTAGACAGTCCCATCTGAGGGCGATGGGAGACAGTGACAGATCATCAGTCATTAGATTCTCATACTCGAATGTGCAGTTCACAATAGGGTTCGATCTGTGAGAATCTAATGCTGCCACTGATCTGACAGGAGGCAGAGCTTGGGCAGTAATACAGGTGATGGGGAGCAGCTGTGAATACACATAAAGCTTACCTGCCACTCACCTGCTGTGCGGCCCGGTTCTAACAGACAGTCAAGGGACTAGGGACCCCGTTTTGGAAAGTAAGTCTCAGTGGGGACTGGTGCGTTGGCTCATGCCTATAATCCCAGCACTTTGGGAGGCCAAGGTGGGCGGATCATTTGAGGTCAGGAGGTCAAGACCAGCCTGGCCAACATGGAGAAACCTGTCTCTACTAAAAATACAAAAATAAGCCGAGTGTGGTGGTGGGCACCTGTAATCCTAGCTACTCGGGAGGCTGAGACAGGAGAATCACTTGAACCCTGGAGGCGAAGGTTGCAGTCAGCAGAGATTGCACCACTGCACTCCAGCCTGGACAACAAGAGTGAAACTCTGTCTCAGTATAATAATAATAATAGTCCATCTGGTCAGGTGCAGTGGCTTGCGCCTGTAATCCCAGCGCTTTGGGAGGCCGAGGCGGGTGGATCACCTGAGGTCAGGAGTTCAAGACCTGCCTGGCCGACACGGTGAAACCCCATCTCTACTAAAAATACTAAAATTAGCTGGGTTCGGTGGTGTGCGCCGGTAATCCCAGCTACTCGGGAGGCTGAGGGAGGAGAATGGCTTGATCCTGGAGGTGGAGGTTGTAATGAGCTGAGATCTCACCATTGCACTCCAGCCTGGGTGACAGAGTGAGACTCTGTCTCAAAAAAAAGGAAAGAAAAAGAAAGTGAGTTTCAGGATATGTGATAGGGATTGTAGGGATTGTGTGTCTTGTTTATTGCTGTTTCCTTGGCTCCAAAATAGTATCGGGGATGCTTGCATTCAAGTGACAAGTTGTTATGGAGTTCCCATCACGGCACCAGGCCCCGTCCCAGGTGTGGGGGCTGCAGGGAAGTAACAGTTTGCCAAACACTGCCTCTGCTCTTATGGAACTTCCGTTCCAGTGGGGAGACATGGGTAACACACAGATACATGGTCCTGCAGGTGGTGGCAGGTGCTCAGTGTGCAGCGGGGCAGGCTAAGGGGGCTTCTCTCCATCTAGGCTACTCAGGAAATTTGCTCTGACCCTGAAGGAAGGGCGGGAGGGAGCCCTTGGAGAGTCCAAGGTGAAGGTGAAGGTCCCGAGGTGAGTACACCCTTGGCAGGCGGTACAGGGGATGGCAGGGATGAGGCTAGAATGTGCCGGGGCTGAAACTTGACCCTGACATTGGCTCTAGGTCTCCTGTGACCTCTCAGCTCGTGGGACTTTGGAGACCACTCTAAGCACGGCCGCTTTGATTTTGGGTAGTACAGGAAGCCATTGTAGGGTTCTGAACACAGTGACAAATGTTCGGGAAAAAATCTGCCTGGCCGCACACAGTGGCTCATACCTGTAATCCCAGCACTTTGGGAGGGCGAAGCAGGAGGATCACTTGAGCCCAGAAGTTGGAGACCAGCCTGGACAACATAGTGAGACTCTGTCTCTACAAAAAGTAACAATAAAAATAAAATGGCTCAGAGCAATGGCACATGCCTGTAGGCCCAGCTACTTGGGAAGCTGAGGTGGGAGGATCGTTTGAGTGCAGGAGATGGAGGCTGCAAATGAGCTATGATTATGCCATTGTACTCCAGGGTGGGCAACAGAGCGAGCCCCAACTCAAAAAAAAGAAAAAAGAAGAGCCTGTAGAGGCTCAGGAGAGGAGGCTCCTGCCCTAGGCCAGGGAGGGAGACTGTCCAGAGGGCAATGTTGCCCTGGGATGTGCCTGTATTTGAAGGCAGAGCCAACAGAGCTGCTCTGTTGACAGTAACAGGTAATTAGCAAATATTTGTTTGAATGAGTGTTGAATCATGAATCTCCCTACAGCCCACTGAAGCGCCCCCTCCTTCAGAACATCCGTCTTGCCTGTTGCTGGAGTCTACACCCACGACTGGCCCGCTCAGCTTCCTCCTGCCCCCTGCCATGCCAAACAACTTCAAATCCTCTGGACTTGTCTTCAGGGAGCATCTAGGGGCTCCTCCAAACTCAATGAGTACCCCAGTTCCATGCTCTCACCTTGCCCAGCCTGCTGTTTGGGGGATGTCTCCCTGCATCATTAGATTGCCAGCTGCCCGAGGGCAGGGGCCCTGTCTGTCCTGCTCAGTGCCATGTCCCCAGCCCCCAGCAGGAAGCCAGGTACACAAAAAGTCCTCAGTAAAAGGCGCTTAGTGGTGAACTGCCCTGCCAGTTTTGCCCTGGGTTTTTGCCTCTGTTTCCTACCCAGGCCACATACAAACTGAACTGCAGGCAAGGGACAACTGCCTGCCCCTTGTCCCAGAATCTGGGTCCTGTAACCCTCACCTTGAGCTCTGAGTGGTCACAGGAAGCCTAGAGCCTACGTCAAGGTCAAGTTTTGTTTCTTTTTTTTTGAGATGGAGTTTCATTGGAGTACAATGGCGCAATCTCAGCTCACTGCAACCTCCGCCTTCTGAGTTCAAGCGATTCTCCTGCCTCAGCCACCCGAGTAGCTGGGACTACAGGTGTGCGCCACCATGCCCAGCTAATTTTGTGTTTTTAGTGGAGACATGGTTTCACCATGTTGGCCAGGCTGGTCTTGAACTCCTGACCTCAGGTGATCTGCCTGCCTTGGCCTCCCAAAGTGCCTGAATTACAGGTGTCAGCCACCATGCCTGGCCCAAGTTTTGTTTCTAGAGTAGCTGTGTGCCCCGCCCCCCGCCAACCCCACCGCCCTCTCCGCACTGAAGCTAAGACAGCCACCCAGTGGTCATTTTTCTAAACTTTTGTTTATTTTATAGCAATCGTCATGTTTAGAGAAGTAAATAACACATTTAAAAACCTTCTCAGGGCCAAAGGATGCCAGAATATTTACAAACACATGGGGGAAGGGTGGCAAGACATGGGGGTCTGGGGCTCTGGGGCCGGGACCCTGCCCCAGGCCCTGAGCCAGGCATGGACGCTGATGCCAGCCACCAGGACTGTCCCACTGGCCACAGCGTGGGCTCAGGGAACACTGGGCAGCCATGGGGCTCTGTTCAGAGGGCCTGGTGGAGACCCTCTAGCCGACCTGTGGCCCTGCCTCCCACCCAGGGGGCTCCCCGCACCCCACAGGCCAGCTCAGAGGGGTCTCTGGGAAGCACCAAAGGACAGGGGCAGTGTGGGGGACACGGGGGCTGGGACAGGGGTCAGGATGCCCCGGCCTGCCCGGGGTAGGACGGAGACACACACACACACACACACACACACATACACACGTACACACTGTACCTTCACAGAAGAATCGCAACGGGGAGATTTTGTGTGTGTGTGTGTGTGTGGTTTTTTTTTGTCTTCTAAGTCTTCATGTCTACAGTATTATTTTTTGCTATTATTTTTGTTTCTTCGACAGTGACATAAACTGAGGTAAACATCTGTGACCAACACCTCTCCTAAGGGGCAAAAGGGTCCCAGCCCGACCAGCAGAGGAGGTGGCAGCAGCAGGGCCTCAACCTGGTGTTCCGGTTCTGCTTTGGGGTCAGGCTGGTGGCTGGCCCTCTGGGTGCCTCTGGGAATGAGGAGGCTGGGCTACGTAACTATGGTCCCCTCCCAACTCTAACATACTAGATACTACGATGGCAGGGGAAACTCCCGAACAGGATCTTAACAGAGAGAGAGAGAGAGAGAGAGAGAGGAGAGAGAGAGAGAGAGAGAGAGAGAGAGAAAGAGAAAGAGTGCGCACGGCAAGGGACGTCTACTGTGGAATCTCAATTCCTTGTTATTGCAGGAGAGATCAGGATGTCGCGAGGCCTAAGGCAAAAGGAGAAGTTGCGGCTGGGAGAGGCAGCCCCGATGGGCTCCAGGTGGGCCGGGGGCAGTGACGGGCCTTCTCTGAGACCTGGCCCTTGGAGGGGGGTTTGCTACTTACCTGGCATGTGGAGGGCCCGTACCCACTGGGGAGGTGGGGTCTGGAGAGGAGTGGGCACAGCGGGGAGAGCGGGGCCAGGCCCTGGGACAACCCCACACTGTTTGTAAACTGGACCCGGGCAGGGCAGGGGACCTATAGCCCTTTTTCAAGGTGGCAATGAGTGGGGAGTGCAGAGGTGGGGGCTCCAGCCAGAAAGTGCTCGGAGTTCACTCTGGCCGGCCTGGCCCATCAAAGAGCCCCTTGAATGGCCCAGAACCCCAGGAGGGACCCTGGCAGGGGTGACCTGGGGCAGAGGGTGGGGCATTGCAAGGCACAGGGACAGCCTTGCCCATGTGGAGCTTATTGCAGGGGTCCCAGGCCTCCACAGAGAGGGCAGGGGGTCAGGACGGAGCACTGGAGGAGGTGGGGGTCCTGTCATCTCTGTTTTGCTGCCTGGGGTCCTGAACCAACCTGCAGGGGGCTCCTTGCTGGATTCCCTGAGGGGTGTGGTGCAAGGCAGGCCTGGCCCCTGGGACAGCTGCCTGGGAGGACCAGGGCGGGTGGGGCTGCTGAACTGTCCGGACGCACAGTCACTGAACGCATAGGGAGACACCCATGCGTCTGCACCCTACGCACACACCTAGTCACCGCTTGCCCCATCGAATCCACGGGCCCCATTCTCACACCCACGTGCAGCTCCGACACCCTGCACACTCCAGTACCAGAAACGTGGGAGACGTCAGGATGGGGTCTTGGAGGCTGGCATGTTTGACTCCAGCAGAAACCCAGGAGAAATTTCCAGCATGAACCACCTCGCCACCTGCCGGAAGCCTAAGCTACTATGTCCAGGCTGGGGTTGCGAGGGCTGGGAGGACCCGGCGGAGGTCCCTGGGCCTGGGAAGGTGCGGCTGGCAGGGGGAGCTGGGCCCTGCCCTCAGCTTCGCACTCACTCCCCTGCCTTAAGGATGCTGGGGCAGCTAAGATCCCTGCCCTGTGAGCCCTTCTATCCCCCGAAGTTGTCAGGACAAACCCTTGTGGCTGGGGGGAGGAGAAGGGGGAGGGAGGGGAGAGAGCTCTGCTTCTCAGCGAGTGCCAAGCTGCCCTCCTTCCTGGGCTGTGTTTTCATCCATGCAATGGGGGTGTGCAGGAGTCACTAGCTCCTTGGGGGCTGTTCTGCACATACAATCACTTATGCGACATCCAGACATTTGCTACATTTTCCAGGGGCTTGCCTCTCCCCTCCAGCCTCCAGAAGGGCAGGGCACAGCTGCCCTCCGTTCACTGCCCTGATCCCAGCCAGTGCCCAGGGGTCTTAGATCCCCTCTCTGCCCAACACTTCAGTCCCTTTTTGTGCCCAGGGTAGGGAGGGGACAGAGTGGGACGGCCAGGAGGAGGGGAACTGGGGTGGGACCGCAGGATGATCTGCCAGGGGGTATGGAGGGCCAGGAGCAACGAGTCCAGGGTTCCAGGGCTCATGGCGGTTTCTGAAAGTGTGGCCCGAGAGCTCCCTTGCTCCTGGCGTGCGTGCGTGCGTGCGTGCGTGTGTGTGTGTGTGTGTGTGTGTGTTGGGGGGCTCCGAATTCTCGGGTCTGTGAGGCTTGGCTCCTCTGGGTGAAGTCCCCGCCCACCAGGGGGTCTCTGGTGGCCCCCTCACCAGCCCACCCGGACCGACCAGGCGCGCGGCCGCGACCCGCCTAGTCTACTGCTGCGCCCCCTGCCCCGCGGCGAGGCGGCTCCATTCCCCACCGCCGTATCGGGCACCGGCTTGGGGCGGCCCCGGGCAGTTCCCCGGTCCGAGGGCGGCGGGGGCGGCTCAGACGCAGATCTCGATGGCCGTGGCCAGCACCACCTGCCCTTTGCTCTTGTCCGCGCGGCCGTCGGTCCGGCCGGGGGGCCCCGGGGGAGCCAGGCCGGGCTCGGGCACGGGCACAGGTACCGGCACCGGCACAGGTACCGGCACCGGCACGGGCACGGGCACCGCCCCGACGGCGGGGGGCGTGGGCCGGGAGCCGCTGCCGCTCTCGGTCAGCACTGTCCGCTTGAGCGGCCCGGGCGCCTCGAGGCGCAGTGCCCCGGCGGCGGGCGGGCGGTCCCCAGGCGGCTTGCGCGCGCGGTGCGAGGGCCGGCGGCGCAGCTCGGACGTGAGCTCGTGCTTCAGGAAGCGGAACACCTCCTTGGCCGGGCCGCGGCGCTCGGGCTCCAGGGCCAGCAGGCGCTGGAACATGCGCAGCGCGGGCTCGGTGAAGCGGCGCCACTGCGACGGCAGCCCCGGCAGGCGGCCCCGCTGCCAGCGCACGAACTCCTCGAAGAAGGCGTCGGCGCCCGAGGCCGCCTCCCACGGGAAGTTGCCGGTGAGCACGCAGAAGATGAGCACGCCGAAGGCCCACACGTCCACGCCCGTGTCCACCGCCAGGCCGTCGGCGCGGCCCGCCTGGCACACCTCGGGCGCCGTGTAGGGGATGGTGCCGCTCACGCGCTTGACGCGGCAGCCCACGCGGCGCGTCATGCCGAAGTCGGCCAGCTTCACGCGGCGGCACTCGCGGTCGAACAGCAGCACGTTCTCGGGCTTGATGTCGCGGTGCACCAGCTGCCGCCCGTGCATGAAGTCCAGCGCTAGGCCCAGCTGCTGCACGCAGCGCTTCACCGTGTCCTCGGGGAGCCCCACCTGCGGGCGGCCGGGAATGGGGGAGCCGCGCTCGCTTTCCAGCTCTCCCGTGCCCGCCCCGCCGCCCTCCCCTCCAGCTCCCTCTCTAGCGGGCTGGTTTTCGCCTCCCACCCTGTCCCCGGTAACAGCAGTGACGGCGCAGATGCGCACCTGCTGCGGCCCCGGTGCTGCAGACCGCCCTTTCTCTCTCTCTCTCATCCAAGCCTTCTGCAGAGTGGCTACTATGCCCGCTTCTCCTATGGGGGCATTGGGGCTCCAGAAGGGACACATGGCTCTCCAGGAGGAGGTTGATGAGGAGGTCCGCAGTGCCCTCCACCTGCTCTCAGTTTGTCCTGCCTGCTAGATATTTAATCTGGTGTGTTTCCCCCAACTAGAACCGGGTTCCCCGAGCTTCCTGTCTTGTTCCCTGCTGTGTCCGTGCATCTGTGTCTCCAGATTCTGGGAGGTAGTAGGTGCTCAGCAAAGAGGGAGGACCTGCTCCGAAGGTCTCATCACTCAGCCAGCATGTGGCAGAGCAGAGTTGAAGCCGGTGCCTGGAGTCCTCCCCCACCCTGCTGGCTCCAGGGTCACTTCCTCTGAGGCCTCCTTCCCGGGTGGATCTCACACCTCTCCTCTTGTCCAGCCCCAGGAGAAGGCGCAGTGGGACTTCATCCCTTCATTCTCACTATCTCCTTTCAGGTGCTCATCTCCATCTGCTATTATCTAGCTCACTCCGGAGTGTCAGTTTCCCGCTAGAACAGGGACTTTTATCTTCCTCACTGCACATCCCAGCTCCCGGAATGGTAACTGACATATGGCAGTCACCCAATAAATACTTGCTGACTAAATGGTCTGAATCCACTCCTATCTCACACTCTGGGGACCCTGAAGACCCTCTCCACCCTATGCCACCATCCCGGGTACCTGGGGAGGGATGATGTCAAACAGGTCCCCAGCAGGTGCGTACTCCTGGGCAAAGACGTAGCAGTCCTCCGTCTCAAAGACGACGTCAAAAACCTTGATGATGAAGGGACTGGAGGAGAGGCTGTTGGTGATGCTCACCTCCCGCAGGAAGTTCTTCAGCTTGGTTTTGCTCTTGTTCACAAACTTGAGTGCCATTTTTGTGCCTGATGGGAACAACAGCAACAGGGGTGAAGCCCCCTCTCCCAGCGCCTCTGTGCTGGATGTACCCATGCCTGTGTCCAGAACAAGGCACAACGGGGCCCCCAGATGGCATGACTGTCCTCATCTTATGGATAGGGAGCAGACCCAGGGAGAGGAAATGGATTGCCCAAGGCCATGGAGGCAGGTTCAACCTGAGCCTTCTACACCCAGTCTGCAGCCCTCCAGGAGGAGGGGGCAAGGAGGCCTGTGGCACCCTCCACCTCTCATTTTGTCCTGTCTGTTATATGCTTATTTATCTTGTTGGTCTACCCCAGCTAGACCCGGTCTCCCTGAACTTCCAGTCTTGTTAAATGGATGAATGAATAAGAAATGAGACACAGCAAGGCACGTGTCCACAATGCTGTGCCTGGGTAAGCATCTGTGCCCATCTGGTGCATAGCTGTGTGGTGTACACATGTGTGTCCACGGAGCATTTAGGCATCACAGGCCCTGCCTTCAGCACTGCACATTCACAACTCACACGTCATTATGACCCTATGAGTTAAACACTAACATTACCCTATTTTACAGAGAAGGACACCAAAGCACAGAGAGGTGAAGTCACTTGTGCAAGGTCACAGAGCAAGCAAGTAACAAAGCTCGGGTGACCCCATGTTGGGTGCTCCTTCTGCTGCCCTCAGTTGACACAGAGCCCCCGGACCCAGGCGTGTGCAGTTGTGGGAGCTCACACAGCCCCTGCCCCTGGCTGGCTGGGTGGCATGGCTGTGACCTACAGTGTGGGGGAGGTATCAAGCTCAGTGACTAAGCGACAAGTCTCTGGAGATGACTCCTGTGGTCTCGTTTTAGTTCATGGCCTCTGAAGCTGCACGGCCTTGGCTATGTGGCTGCATCGGCCTGGGTCTCACTGTCCCCCCACCGAGAGATGGTAATGGCCATACTGATCCCGAAGGCCCTTCTACCACCCACTAAGTGTGGCACCCTGTTCCCGAGGAACTGCCCTCACTCTCTGTCCACCTACCTGGGGTCAGCCATCCCTCAGACACTGGTGATGCCCAGACACAGACACCAGCCCTGCCCTCTCCAGAGGCCCCTGGCACAGCCCCTTGGCTGTGTCAAAGGCACCCCTGATGGCCCCACAGCAGCCCACCCTGCAGCCTGACCACTCTGTCCCCATTCCTCCCTTGCCCCATCTGCCCACTCTCCTTCTCCCTGGCTGTTTCATCCTCTTCATCTGGCCCGTGACCCTGCCTCCCAGCCCCCACAGAGCACCAGAAAACACTGGCCCAGCTGGAAGGCCATGTCCCGCCACCCCGACCTCCCAGTGCTGCCAGCTTGCACTCGCTCACCTGTGCCCTTGTAGACCACCAGATCAACCTTCCCATAGGTGCCTTTGCCCAGCTCCCGGACTAGGTCGTAATGCTTGGTGACATCGCTGGCGGCCAGAGTGCGGAGGGTCAGGGCCTGCATGTCTTCAGTGAGTAGGGGCACGCCTGCCCCAGGTCCTGGGGCAGTCCCCGGCCCACAGCAGGGCAGGGAGCGGGGCGGCTCAGGCTCTGGGCAGCCCACGCTCATCTTCTCCCTGTTTGGTCGGGGGTGGGGGGATGAGCATGAAATGTGACATCAGGCACGGGTCCACTTCTCCAGCCCCTCGGTCCTCCCCAGCGCTCAGAAATCTTGAGGCTGGGCCCTGCTGCCAGGCCCAAGATAACCACAAGGGGGCGACAAGCATCTTGGTTGTGTTGCCTTCCCCAAAGCCTCAGGGGCCAGGCTAGAGTGAGCTACCCCAAGCCAGTCACCGCTGGACCCTGGGGTTGGTGGCACCGGCCCCTCTGCCTCATGCTGCCACCCACACAGTGTCAGGCAACGCCCTGTATTTATGTTACACAGACACAGCCAGATACTGAGTTCACATGGGTACTCCCATTCACAAGCGTTGGTTTTGTTTTGATTGTAGAGAGGGGATCTCACTATGTGGCCCAGGCTGGTCTCAAAATCCTGGCCTCTAGTGATCCCTCTGCCTGGCCCTCCCAAAGTGCTGGGATTACAGGTATGAGCTACTGCACCCGGCCTGTTTTAATTTTTATTTCAGAGATGGGGCCTCACTCTATCACTCAGGCTGGAGTGCAGTGGCACGGATCATGGCTCACTGCAGCCTCCACCTCCCAGGCTTAAGCTATCCTCCCACCTCAGCCTCCTGGGTAGGTTGGACTACAGGCATGCGCCCCCACATCTGGCTAATTTTATTTATTTATTTTTAATTTTTAGTTCTGGGGTACATGTGCAGGATGTGCAGGTTTCTTACACAGGTAAACGTGTGTCATGGTAGTTTGCTGCCCCTATCATGCCTGGCTGATTTTTTATTTTTATTTTTGTAGAGTTGGGGTCTCACTATGTTGCCCAGGCTGGTCTAGAACTCCTGGCCTTAAGTGATCCTCCCGCCTCAGCCACCCAAAGCACTGGGATTACTGGCATGAGCCACCATGCCCGGCTTATTCACAAGTATTGATGAAGCACCTGCTGTTCCCCAGGGCTCTCCAATGCCCAGAGGACACTGCACTGAACAAACGTCTAGGACTCCCTGTCCCCATGGGGCTTACACTCCAGGGGGAGAGAGGCAGTAGACACAGTGGTCACGCCAGTTGTATATTATGATCCAAAGTGGTGTGGGCTATCCATATGGTAGGGGATGGGGACAAAGAGGTCTGAGGACCCTGATTGCACCATCACGTATCTCGGCCAGGCCGTCTTAGGCCAAACCGGCAGGATGGTACAGATGGGCCGCACCATACCACCACGCACGGCCACACCTCAGCACAGCCCGGCAGTGCCTCCCCCACCGCAGATGACAGCACCACCTGACTCAGGAACAAACACTACAGCTGTGTCCCAGGGTCTCCCCTAAGCCCTGCCCAGACACAAAGGTAGGGCACCTGTTCCCAAAGACCCAGCCCCCGCTCCCATTCCCAGCCTGACTGACCCCTTCAACATCCACACAAGCTGAGACGGTCTTCCTGGACATACCCCTCATAGCTACTGAGTTTGTCCCCAAGTGGATTGGCTGTGGGTGCGAGGGAGGCACAGAGACGTAGGGGTCAGTCCAGAGCCGGGGCGGGAGACCTGACTTTTTAAAAAAGTATATTTAGGCTGGACACAGTGGCTCACACCTGTAATCCCAGCACTTTGGAAGGCCAAGGCAGGCAGATCACTTGAGGTCAGGAGTTCAAGACCAGACTGGTCAGCGTGGCGAAACCCTGTCTCTCTCTCTCTCTCTTTTTTTTTTAAAGATGGGGTTTCACCATGTTGGTCAGGCTGGTCTTGAACTCCCGACCTCAGGTGATCCACCCGCCTTGGCCTCCAAAGTGCTTGGATTACAGGTGTGAGCCACTACGCCCGGCGGCGAAACACTGTCTCTACTAAAAATACAAAAATTAGCTGGGCATGGTGGTGCACACCTTAATCCCAGCTACTCAGGAGATTGAGGCAGGAGAACTGCTTGAACCCTGGAAGCAGAGGCTGCGGTGAGCAGAGATTGTGCCGCTGCACTCCAGCCTGGGTGACAGGGCGAGACTCAGTCTCAAAAAAAGAAAAAGAATGTATTTGTTTTGAGATAGGGTCTTGCTCTGTTGCCCAGGCTGGAGTGCAGTAAAGTGATCATAGCTCACTGGAGCCTCGAACTCCTGGGCTCAAGGGATCCTCCTGCCTCAACCTCCTGAGTAGCTGGAACTGCAGGCATGCACTACCGCCTCTGGCTAATGTTGAAATGTTTTGTAGAGAGGGGTCTTGCTGTGTTTTCCAGGCTGGTTGAAGTCCTGAGATAAAAGCGATCCTTCCACCTCAGCCTCCCAAAGTGCTGGGACTACAGCGTGAGCCACCACACTGGGCTGAGACCTGCCTTGTCACATGGGTGACAGTGAACTAATTCCGTGTCTGTGGCCTTCATTTCTTATTTTCCCTCATGCCATTTTTCTAGTTTTATTGAGATATGTTTGGTGTACAACAAACTACACATATTTGAGTGTACAGTGTGATGATTCTGACATATGCATACATCCCTACCATAGAGACCATGAACACATCTATTACCCCAAAGTTTCCTTTTGCCCCCTTTTTTTTTTTTTTTGAGATGGAGTCTTGCTCTGTCACCCAGGCTGGAGTGCAGTGTTGAGATCTCAGCTCTCTGCAACCTCTGCCTCCCGGGTTCAAGTGATTCTCCTGCCTCAGCCTCCCCACTAGCTGGGATTACAAGCACCTTGGCTAATTTTTGTACTTTTAGTAGAGATGAGGTTTCACCATGTTGGCCAGGCTGTTCTCGAACTCCTGACCTGGCGACCCACCTGCTTTGGCCTCCTAAAGTGCAGGGATTATAGACATAAGCCACTGTGCCTGGCCCCTTTTGCCCCTTTCTAAAACCCCGTCCCTCCCTGCCCCTGTCTTCCAGGCAACCACTCTGGGCTTGCATTTCTCATTTGTAAATGGGAAGGGATAGACTAGGGGGACGAGCCTTTTCCAGTCTGTACCTTTTCCAGGTACAGACACACATGAGTATGTGTCTGCGTGTGCACCAGCAGGAGAGGCCAGGGCTGCCTCCTTTAGAAGCTGCCACCAGCCTCTACTCCAGGCCCTGGGCACCTGCTTCCCGGTGTAGCCTCTCTTTGCCCTCCTTGCACTCCCTTCTCCCTCTTTTTTTTTTTTCTTAAGTATCTCTTTTTGTGGAGAGGGGAACAGAGTTTCGCCCTTGTCACTGCTGGAGTGCAGTGGCGCGATCTCAGCTCACTACAACCTCTACCTCCCAGGTTCAAGTGATTCTCCCGCCTCAGCCTCCTGAGTAGCTGGGATTACAGGCACCTGCCACCACACCCAGCTTATTTTTGTATTTTTAGTAGAGACGGGGTTTCATCATGTTGACTGGGCTGGTCTTAAACTCCTGACCTCAGGTGATCCACCCACCTCGGCCTCCCAAAGTGCTGGGATTACAGGCGTGCACCACCACACCTGGCCTCTTTTCCTGTAATCCCAGACATGTCACTCCAGCATCCCTAGCCTGCCCCTAAGCACCGCAGCTCCATCTGGGAGAAGGCATAGACGTAGAGCCAGACAGCCTGGGTCTGAGTCCAACTCTGTCACTTGCTACTGGATGTCCTTGGGCAAGTTACGTCATCTCTCTGTGCCTCAGTTTCCCCATCTATACAAAGGATATAATAATAGTGTATTGGGCCAGGCAAGGTGGCTCACGTCTCTGGTCCCACACTCTGGGAGGCCAGGGCAAGAGGACTGCCTGAGACCAGGAGTGTGAGACCAGCCTGTGCAAGACCATGTCTCCACAAAAATAAAAAATAAAAGAAGATGTTAGCCGGGTGTGGTGGCGCGCACCTGTAGTCCCAGCTACTCAGGAGGCAGAGGCAAGAGAACTGCTTGACCCAGGAATTTGAGGCTGCAGTGAGATATGATCATTCCACTATACTGCAGCCCAGATGCCGAGTGAGACCCTACCTAAGTAAGGTAATAATAATAATAACAGTGCCTTCTCCCTGTGGGTTGTTGCAAGAGTTAAATAAGTTAACCGGCGTGAAGCCTGGCATGCAGCACGCAGGGAGTGCTCCATAGGTGCCTGGGGTTGCTGTGTTATTCCGTCATCATCACTGCTTTCTCTCTGGCTGAGCGAGGGCGGGTGGGCATGGCTGGAGGCTGAAAGCACTCCACGGGCCCTGCATCTTCACCTGGCCCAGCAGCTCCCTTCCAGGCCCCAAGCCTCTCCTCCTCCTCTGCCTTCCCCTTCACTCTCGGCACGACCCAGCCTCCCACTTCACACGGAGAGGAGGAACATCAGGAGAGAACTTCCTGGCCTCCCACCCAGCCCCAAACGGAGCTCCATCTGCACCGTCCTCTCAGCTGGCTGGGGAGGAAGGAGCCCTCCTCTCCCCACCCCGGAGCCTGCTCTCAGCCCCGTCTCCCCAGCCTCCTGCCTCCCTCCATTCATGAACCAGCTCATCTCATCTATCTATCTATCTATCTATCTATCTATTTTTTTGAGACAGGGTCTCACTTTGTCACCCAGGCTGCAGTGCAGTGGCATGATCTCAGTTCACTGCCAACTCTGCCTCCTGGACTCAGGCAATCCTCCCATCTCAGCTTCCTGAGTAGCTGGGATCACAGGGTGTGCACCACCACACCTGGCTAATTCTGCATTTTTTGTAGAGATGGGGTTTCACCATGTTGAACTCCTGACCTCAAGCAATCCTCCAGAGTGCTGGGATTACAGATGTCAGCCACCGCACCCAGCCACCCCTGTTGTTTTTTAAATTTTATTATTATTTTTAAACAGGGTCTCGCTCTGTTGCCCAGGCTGGAGTGCAGTGGTGCGCACATGGCTCACTGAAGCCTCCAACTCCTGGGCTCAAGCAATCCTCCCACCCCAGCCTCCTGCGTAGGTGGGACCATAGGCGTGTGCCACCATGCCCAGCTAATCTTTTTCACATTTCACTTTTTGTAGAGATGGGGGCTCACTATATTGCCCAAGCTGGTCTTGAACTCCTGGGCTCCAGAGATCCTCCTGCCTTGGCCTCCTAAAGTGCTGGGATT